AAGTCTTGTAATGCATGTGAGATGAAAAGGAACATGTGAAACTTCATCTTCCATAAATCTCCATGACAGCGAACAAACACCGATTTGTTTTCTGTTCACCTAAGAAGCAGATTTGTCTCTGTCTGAATTTTATTCAATTAAAAGACCATACCTCAAAGCTTTAAAGCCTTTTTGTGCTTTGAAAAGTTCTGGTTGGATGAGTTTCGTATAACCTTAAGGTGCCCGACCAAACTGGGGGCTCAGACTGTTTTCAAATGCTTTCAACAGGCGTAAGAGGGGCTGGTTGGGGCCTGTAAATCAGGAGAATGGACCCTGACTCAGTTGGGTGCTTCATAAATCACCGGGGTCCATTAACCCTTTCTGGTGAAGAGCGGGATCCATCCTGCTGGTGTAAGATTGGCTTCACCAAAGATGTCTTTCTCACATCATTTCTTGCAAACACTGAGCCTTGAACCATAGAAAAACATTTCATGCTGAAGGTAATAAAAGGTTTTCTTCTACAGAATAAGTACTCTAATCTCTGTATTGATTAAGCTCTTTTGTTCACAGTGGATGTTGCGGTTGAACAAGCCCACCAGGGCGTGTTCTTCAACGCGGGCCAGTGCTGCACAGCGGGTTCCCGCATATTTGTGGAGGACTCCATTCATGACGAGTTTGTCCGAAGGAGCGTGGAACGAGCCAAGAGGAGGACAGTGGGCAGCCCCTTCGACCCCACGACTGAGCAGGGTCCGCAGGTGAGACGACTTCGCTTTTAGTTTCCACCTTCCTGTTTTTTTTTTTTTAAATAAATAATCTAAGTTATTCTATTCTTCATGTCCGAATCCATGCTTGTCCTTTACCTGCACAGATCAGTCGGGAGCATCAGAACCGTGTGCTGGAGTTCATCCAGAGCGGCGTCAGTGAAGGAGCCAAGCTGGAGTGTGGAGGCAAAGCTCTGGGCCTGAAAGGTTTCTTCATCGAGCCCACCGTGTTCTCCAACGTGACGGACGACATGCGCATCGCCAGAGAGGAGGTACAGGAAGCCTGCATCTTAATTCAACATTATTCAGTGAAACTGTGTGGAAGAAACGTTATTTCTACCTAAACAAGAGCACAAAACTTCAAACTATACAACCCGTTTTTTCATTACTTGTTCAAAAAGATTATTCATTCATAATAATCTATTATTATTTCATATTCATAGCGAATAGTGATGAATGCTACGCCATGGCTTTAAGTTTGTTTCATTTCAAAAAAGTACATTTGAAAAAAAAGTACATACAGTCAAAAAAAATAAAAAATTCACACAATTTTTCCAACATATTATTAAATTAATCAATAAATCAGTCAGGTTTATTTGTATAGCACATTTCAGCAACAAGTCATGTCCTTTCCATCACAAAATCATGAAAACTTCATAAACTCATCATACAGTCAACAGTAATGAAAACCAGTGACGTTTTGTCATGTGCCTCCGTTAAAATAATCAAAACACATCAAATATGATGGTCAATTTATGTTTCAAAAGCAACAGGTGGGTTTTTAGTCCAGACTTAAGGGAACTCAGTGTTTCGGCTGTTTTGCCGTTTCCTTGAAGTTTGTTCCAGATTTGTGGTGCATAGAAGCTGAATGCTGCTTCTCCATGTTTGGTTCTGCTTCTGGGGATGCAGAGCAGAACCAGAACCAGAACCAGGCTTGTTTGTGAAACTTGAAGTAAAACTTAAATCGCAGGAATGATGAGACAAACAATTCCCACTGTTTTCAAATCAAAATTTTTAAAACCTCTTCATACTACGACACCAATAATCTGAATGTCCTTCAGCGATGAAAAAGTCAGTCAGTATCTATGAAATCTAACAGAAAAGGCAATAAAATGCAGAAATGAAAGTTAATAAGAAAATAAAGAGTGAGACACAGTCCATACAAAGCAGGAACGCACAACCAAATAATATACGTGTCCATTCTGAATCCTGATTTCTTATTTCTGCAGATTTTTGGGCCAGTCCAGCAGATTATGAAGTTCAAAACGATTGAAGAAGTGATTGAAAGAGCCAACAACTCAGACTACGGTTTGGTTGCTGCTGTTTTCACCAGCGACATCAACAAAGCCATGACCATAACCGCTGCCCTGCAGGCCGGCACGGTGTGGTGAGTTCAGTTTCCTGTAACAAGCTTCATTTTTCATGTGGGAAATATTAAACATTTCAGCCGTCCAGAGCCCGTAAGCTGACACCACACTATCTCAACTATTATTACACATGCTGCAACCAGCTTCTCGTGTGTGTTTCCCCCCCCCCCTCTCACACACACACACACAACTCCCAGAAATGTGAGATGAAATTTGTGAGAACAGGATTCGGTGCAGTCCGGTGTGTATGCAGGAATAGCACAACCACTCGTTGAGTTCGCTCAGAGTTGTTTGGTTTCATTTGTAATTACCTTCAGATGGTTATGAGTAAGAGCAGGAGTGGAGCTAACACGCAGCATCTGCCAGAAACATTTCGCTGCCTGTACCACAGCGGTCTGGTAGCTAAACAAACGTTTATATTGCAGCTTTGTCCTTCAGTTTTCATGTGTCACAATTACACACCCACCACCATCCACCATCACACAAACAAGGCGTAATTTGTCAAAATCTTCCCAAAACAAAACTCACAAGAGCATCTTTTTAAAGAAAACACTTCTCGAGCTTTATTTCTGTGCATTATTTTCCCACAAACTCGGTTCTTCTCCATTTAAACTGACCACAGTCGTCTTCATCCCGTTTCTTTTTAGCAGTTTTTTCCCAGCCAGCTGTAATTAAACTCACTCACGCAGCGAGCCAGAATTATCTGATGGGGTTCAGCAGGTTATGAAAACAACCTGCAGTGATGACGGTGGTATATTCTCGATCTGTCCTCCTTAATGCAGCTTACACTGTCCTCAACTTTGAAGGAAACCACAGGAGTCAAATGCATCAGACTGATCAATGCTTTGTGTATTTCCCAGGATAAACTGCTTCAATGCTCTGAGCACACAGTGTCCGTTCGGCGGATACAAGATGTCTGGCAATGGACGTGAATTGTGAGTACGGTTTGGTTTTCTGCCCTCTACATATACACAACTTATCCGCAATATCACTAATAATGACTTCATGTTTCAAAACAACATTTATTAAGCTCAAATAAATCTGTTTTAAAAGGATATTGCAATGTTTCTTTCTTTATGCGTCTCTTGCGACGTACAGTTGAAACCAGATGTTCGCGTCCAGTTTGCAATAGACGCACAGCCTGCTATTTCTCACAGTCAAATATTAAATCTGACTAAAAGTTTCCTCTCTTAAAATGACTAAAATAGGTCTTTACAGTTTTTTGTTATCTCTTTCTTAAAATATGTTGAATAATAATGTTAGTGTAAAAACTGCAAAAACTCTTACCAAGTATTTTTGTTCCAGTTTTTAGTGTAATCTTAGTACATTTGAAATAAGACAAAACTAATGAGCTTGTCTCTTAATATTGAATTTCTTATTAAAGCTAGATGATCTGCCAGTTTAACTGGTATTTTTCATCAACGTTAATACATTATTGGTTTAAAACAATGTCCTGTATCTTGCTGAGAAGTTACTTCTAAGTTAGTTTTGTCTTATTTTAAGGGTATGAAGATATTTGCACTAAAAACTAGAACAAAAATACTTGGTAAGATTTTGTGTTTTTGCAGTTTAAGCTTGTTCAGGGTTCATTCACAATATTTGAGTTCATCAGAGGATGAATGTGGATGAATTTTAAGAAATCTTAAACGTCTTAAAGCATTATGTTGTATGTCTTTTTTTCTGCAGGAGGAATTGGCGCACTTTATAAAACAGATTTCATTACAAGGAAAGAGGATTGTAAAGACATTAAAGCTGAATTGCAAAGTATGAGACAGGAAAATAAAGTCTGGGCACGAAATTTGTTACAAACTGAGTTAAAACCCTGGAAATATTTTGGGCAGAGATAAAAATGAACATGTGAACAAGAAGGGCTTTCAAGTCTGACTCAGTTACAGCATTTCTGCCAGGAGGAACAGGCAAATTATTCCATCAAATTATTGTGTCGTGCAGTTCAAACATGTATTTTTGTCTAGTTTCTAGTGTATTATCTTATCACACTTGAAATAAGACAAAACTAACTTACAAGTACTTTTTCAACAAGATACAGGAGCTTGTTTTAAGTAAATAATTCCTTTATATTGATGAAAAGAACAAGTTCCTTTGGCAGATACATTTAGCAAGACAATCTCCCCATGTTACACATGAAATAATTTAACAGTTTTCTGGCTCTATTTGAAAGTACTACCACATGAAAGTAGGTAACAAGAGAGAGGAAAGACATGCAGCAAAGGTCACCAGGCCGGGAATCGAACCTGTGACTGAGGCCTCCTTATGTGGGTTGTCTTAACCCCTTCACCACCCATATGTGGAATAATCTGCTATTAATCTCAAGGGATTATTTCCTGAAAACAACCTCCTAAAGCTTGCTGATAAGTTACTTTGGAGTAGTTTTGTCTTATGTCAAGAGTATTAAGATATTTGTACTCGAAAATAGATAAAAAAAATACTTGGTAAGATTGTGTGTTTGTGCAGTGAGGGCACTAAACAGGTCATGTATGCAAACTTCTGAATTTAAAGACAGAAAAATATTGTTAAAAAAATACAAAATATATTGTCCTGGAATTTAGCAACCAGAAATAATTTTGGCTATCCTAACTAACCAAAAACAGTAAAATAATTGCACCACTTAATGGCAGAGCGGGATGATAGGTTATGTGTGTGAACATCTGGTTTCAGTGTGTGTATTATCTATTTAAGTGATCAGAGCTGCTTCCTGTTTCAGGGGAGAAAGTGGCCTGAGGGAGTACACAGAGCAGAAGACCATCACAATAAAGATGGCCTCCAAAAACTCTTAAAGGCAGACACGCATCTTCCTCTCCATCGTCATCCTCACACTGTCCACAGCAGCAGACCACACCGGCCGTCCAAACTAGCTCTCTCCATGGTTAAACTCAGCCTCCACTCTCTCTCCACCCACATTAACTCGACCTGGCGGCCCCCCACCCCGCCGTCTATCTTCAGGTCTCCACTGGCAACCACTGACCCCGCACTGTTTACCTCCTCCTCCACTAACAACACTAAAGCACTCACAGAGATGATATGGGAGGATGCTCCGACCGCGCCGTCCAACGCCGTCGCTCCCCACTGCCCCTCTCCAGATGCTGGAAGCTCAGAGACTCGGTCGCTGCACTTGCAATAAGCCCTTTACTAGCTACTTGTCGCGTGTTGGGAGTTTCCTTTCTGCTGTGCGACATGATTGTCAAAACCTCATTCTTCCTCGTCTTGGTTAGGATTTACGGGCGCGCGCCGGCTCGTTCCGAGACCACTGATGTTTCCGTCAGCCTCACACGTGAACGGATGAAATGTTGATTCAGAATTTAAATTGACTCCTAATTGTCTTTGTTTATATATTAGCTCATATGATCTAACACTGTATGTAAACCTTTGACTGACGTAAAGTTGTTAAACTCTTAAAAAGCATTTTACACTCACTTGTTTTAAAAAAAAGAACGAAAAAAAAGCGGAGTAGGTGTATTTTAAACTTTTGTAACTATCATTGATGTCCATGTATGTTTATGTTTATACAATCGTATGCTATAAAATTATAAAATGACTGTAGTTATGTTCTTTTGCAGTAAATCATTTTTCTTTTGCTGTAAAAATTTTGAGTGTTTTTTTAGAGCTTTGTGTCTCAGGAGGTCTTGCTGTCTTTAATCTTATCGATTTCTTTATTATTAAACTAATCTGCCTGACAAACCTTTAACAAACTAAAGTGCTGCAAACAATTACTTAAACCCCGACAAATTTCTTCTGTGTTCTGTTTTTCTCACTTTTGGACAAAAATATAATAAAACTACAATGATAACTTGTATATTATGGGAATAAATGACGTCCAAACCGACCTGACCGTATGTGAAAAATCTATTTCCCTCATTGCTAAATTATGGAATAAATCAAAGCGTGTAGTAATCAGGTTACTGATTGCAGTAAATCATTTTGAGTGTTTTTAATTCAGAATTAATCTCTGAAGTGATTCAGAGATTAATTAAAGGCATATATTTTTGCACTTTGTGAATATTACAAACTATCAGATTATTTTTGTTCTCCTAACTGCAGACATTTACATAATAATATCTATCAGATTAACTGCAGGGTTTGTTTTTAGTCCATCCATGGAAATAACAGACGTCTCCCAACTAATACGAAGAAACTAAACAAGAGGAATCATTTTTTAAATTGCCTTTTTTAACATGTTGGAAATGATTTAAATCCTTATCAATAAATGAAAACTGATGGTAAGTTTATGTGCGTCTCCTCCAGTAGTTTTGACCTTTTTTTCCAAATCATCTCTAATCTTTATCTCCCTTCATCTGGAGGTATGTGGGTGTTTTTAGGACCGACTGCATATTTACAAGACTTTCAGCTCATTAAGGAAATTAAGTATTGTGCAAATATCGACTCTAATAGTTAGTACTGGAGTGCATTGTGTCAGTAAAAATCAAAATAGTAATTGAAGCTCTATTTTACAGTTCTTATTGCATTTTACCTGCCTTGCTTTACAACGTTGCCACTTCCTATATGTAAAACTAAAATGCAAAACATGATTTCAAACAATATCAGGCTGAGATTGGTTTGTTAAATTCACTGCTTTGAAATGAACGTTAAAGATTTCCATCCTTGGAAGACGTATGCAAAGCAGCCGCAGTGCAGGGCATGCTGACGCAAAGTGTAAACTTTCCACCGTTTAATAAAATAAACATAGAATATATGCAAATAATAATCACAAGTGAGTTGTATGCAGCTCATACAACTCACTTGTATGCTAAATATGCTATTTTTTTAATATTCTAAACTATAAAAAAAATTCCTAAACTTTCAAATTCAGTTACATGTGTTGCTTCAAGGCTTTCCTAAACCATAGTTTTCATTTGAATTGAAAGTAATATCTTAATTTCTCAAAAAAAGCAAATTCTAAAAATAAAGGCAAAGAAATACAGTAATACAATGTATCATTTGCATGTTTTCCAAATCATCTGTTTGTTAACGAGGAGATAAAAGATATGTAAGAATTTCTTCAGTGATAACATCCAATGAATTATCTTTAACACACAGATTAATAACATATAATAAACGTAATAATCTCACTTATGGTGTCAAAATAGCAGAACATTCAGTTTCAGTGTGTCTGTGTTGCTGACGCTGTTGCAAAGATTTCTGATTAAAAGTAATAAAAGAGGAAGAAAATAAAAGTCATGGAGAAAAGTTGAACTTTTACCGAACCTACAGCAGATTTTACACATCCAGTCGTCGTGGTTGACCGAGGTCATGACCTTTGAAACAGGAAAGGGCGTTAAATGTAACCTTAAAGGCAACAAGTTGCCAAATATTTAATGTCCAGTTGAGTTGGCCTCATTTCATGCTTTCTAAAGAGGAGCTGAGGAAGTGAAAGTGATTACACAGTGTAACATGAAATAAAAGTTTATCCTGCTTTGATACACGCAGACAAGATGGGGAAAATAGTTGGTAATATTGTTTGTCCTTTTAAATCTTAATTTAAAAAAGTAACAGATAAATAAATAAACAAAATATTACAGTGCTTTAAAGTCGAAATGTTTTATTTTTCAGTGGGCCTTATCCTCTTCTTTAGAAAATTATCTAATTTTTCATTTAGACATTTTTTGAGCTCTTCCACTTTAGCGTTTACTTACATAGGATTTACCTCTGGACAAAACTGCACAACGTTACTTTAACCCAATAAAAAAAGAGCTGATTTTCTGCTGCAGCAGACTCAACAGCGCACGAAAACCGTCTTTTGTCGAATAACTTGTTGAATTATCTGTTTGCTTTTTCCCACAGCTCCTCTCTCGGCTGGTATCTGCAGCCTTTGGAAAGTGAAAATGAAAAAGTGACCAGCTTATTGGGTCACTTTATTAACACAACAGGGAATACCAGCAGAAGCTCACTCACAGGTTAAAAGCAAATGAAAGTTTAGATACGACCATCGTTTGTGTCCGTTTTTATCAATTGGGGGTTTATATGAAGCTGTTTAATTAATTTTTGATTAGTGATTAGCTCATTATTTTTCCTAAAATCTTGTTTGAGGTGTTAAGTATTGGTTCTCAAAATAATTCAACCTTGAATTCAGATTCAATATAAAACTGATTGGCTTTATAAACATTGAATAGAGAGAGTAGAAAAAACTTACAAGATATAAAACCAAACATGGAGAAACAACATTTAGTTTTATCAGAACAAGAATCCAGAGAAACATGACAGATTTCTTATTTTTATTAAACAATATGTAGTTTTATACTTTTACTTTTCTATTAGTTTATCCAGAGAAACTCCTATTAGTTTATTAAATGTGGAGTATTTTTTGTTTTTCTTTTGCTTTCTCTTGTTATTTTGATTGTATTTCCTCTAATTCATGTAAAACTCTCTGAATTTCCTTGTTGCTGTACAAATAAAATTACCTTATCTTACCTGAATTATTTTAAAGTGTCGGATAGCAATGCAAATTCTGCTTTTTGTTTTATTTTTCAACATGTATTGATTGTTCCATCAGTGAACAATAAATGGCAAAAGTCATTTTTTAAGTATTTTGAGGAAAACTAAATGATATTAAATGTTGGAGCTTCCATTCAGATAAAAATATATCAGATTTAATTTACTTTTAGTAAGAAGAACCCTTTGAGAAGCTCTATTTTTTAGTGTGAGCTGGCCTAACCCCGGAGTCAGGGACATGAGCTTGTTAAAAAGACCACACACTGTCGGGGACGTTCACCCTTTGTCCAGATGCTCACTTATCCTTCCAAAACTTTATGGATTAATATTCCAGAAAGGCCGTGCTGGTTTCCCTTTCATCGGCTCTCTCAGGATATTTTCTCACATGACTCACCAAACACCCAGGAACGTCTGCCAGGCTCTGTACAGCATTTGTTAAAAAGGAGCACTTCCTTTTTCGCTCTGTGATTCCTATGGAGAAAGAATCATCATACACACAGACAGTGGTAATTTAACAGCTCAGCAGCGTAGTAGCGCTGCTCATGTTTGAGGGATCTGAGTCTTCTCACTGAGACGACGTTGTGCAAACGTCTCTGTTCGTGCTTCTCATTCCAGGGTAGTGAGAGTCAGACGCCCCTCCTCGCAGTGATACTTTTCTGAGTCAGTGTCTCCGTAAAAATGAAGATGCCATGTCTGCTAAACATTACCGAAAATAGCTGCTACCTTTATCTTTGTCTTGGAAGTGTGTTTATGTGCTGTATGTGCAAAGGCATGAAGAGCTCGTTTTAACAGCGGAAGAAAAAGGTTAAACGGAAAGCTATCAAAAGGATCGTTGTGGGGTAACCAGAGGAAATGTATTACTCATTTTAATTAGGTTAAGTCTTCATAGAGCTGCTCCAAAAACACACAGGTTGGCTGAGGTAAATTTCAGTGTGTACAGGCTTACAGATCACAGTGGTTATTCATTTCCAAGTTAAGAAATATGCTTAAAAACATAAAAGAAACTGAGAACAAAGCAGCCAAAAAGTTGACAAATAAAAATGACAATAAGTTGTTGTGAAGACTTAAAGAACAAATGTGAAGATTTATTTGGTGATTTGTCCAGAGAAGAGGAGGCGGTTAATTGAAATGTTGTAAAACAGCAGCAGTTTGGAGATCTAACAGCTCGGCACCCTGCTGAGAAACATAAAATCATCTGTATTCTCACAACGTTTTCCAACAAAGAAGATCTGTAGGGAAAGTAGGAGTCATAGCTCCACCTGTTTCCTGGTTCCTATAAGCTGCTACTTATCAATTCAGTGGATTACGAGAATAAAGATATTTTTTGTCAACAAAACTATTCTGGTGGTGCAGAATCTGACTTTGGCCTCAAAACTCTCACTGTGTGTGAACATTTACTTTTTATTTTTTAAAGGGAAAGGTTGAGCTTGTATTTAAGGACGTAGGTTTTTCTATTCTGAAATGTTCTATTTAAAATCAGTTATGGGTTATTTCAATTGATTAAGTTCTGATCTACCCATAGGAATCCCACAAAATACATAAAAATGACCTTAAACCTTTCCCTGACTTCCTGCCTACATTATAACTCCATCATGGCAATAAGACTGCCATATGATATAATTTCTAGAATGCACCTCACCTGCATCCTAAAGAAATTTAAAGCATCACACCACATCTTTGGCTTGATATGTGGTTATGGGGATTCGTGGTTTGATTATTACTGCTAAAATGTCAGAGAAAACATATTTGACAGCTACAAAGAATGTGGTTGATGACTGAAGGAAGGTTTTCAAACTTTCTAACTCTGTTAGACAGGATGTGTGTCTCATAAACAGCAATTTGTCTTCATGTAGTTTTAAGCAGTCAGTAATAGCTTTGGTATTTATGGCAGTACATCCATGTTTTTGACATAAAAAACTGTAGTACTTCATCTGAATGGGATTGAGTCTTTTTAGGAAGAAAGAACATTACATTATCTTTCAGCTTTTTGCAGCTGCTGCTTTATGTTTTGGTTTGCTGTGGGAGAAGCATGCCTTTAAAAATCTAATTTTCCTTTAGACACTTTGATAATGCACTGACTACCACAGCTGTCCATCCCAAACCATCATGAGAACCATTATGGTGCATCATGATGACCATTTGAAAGCTTTGAGGTCATTTCTTCAACGCCAGCCCTGACTGCTTGCCTTGGGACGGCTGTCCTCGGACTCCTCTGCATATATTTAAGAGAATGTGCAGACAATTTGTTCCAGATTTTCTAAACTGTTGTAATTCACACGTATACTTCAAAGCTGATTTAGTGCTCGGGATGCACTCTCACAGCTGGAAACGTGAGGGAAGGCATGCATCATAAGATTAGGAGGCAAGACTAGATCTAGTGCTTTACATACTGAAGAG